AGACATTAGTACTGTGACGGGATTCGATGGAAGAGTGGGTTCGATTGAACAAAAAAACGTTATTTAGAGACCAACAAAACCCAGCAAACTGACGGCAGAAAAGACTGTTTCTATAACTCCCACTCTTCCTCCCCCCTTCAAGTGGACTCGGCGAGTGAAAACAGCGAGAAGACGCCTTCAGCTAACTAATTCACAAACCTTCCCAGGCACGAGAGTTCGGCTATTATCCTCAACCAAGCCGGTCTTGCAGGGGGAATGTAAGGATAGGTTGCCACCTCAAACTTCTCCCCCCCCCCGCCATGTAAATTTGTTGTCCCTGTGGAGGTTACATTGGTCGCACGAGTCGACACCTACCTAACAGCACGTGGCAAGGCTGAGAGAAGACGAAACTAGGAGCATAAACAGTGCCATTCCCGCATCGTAGCATTCAGGCATCGTGTTGACCACAACGAAGCCCACTCATGCGATTTACAAGCTTTCATTGAATTAGTCTAGGCCACAGGTGCAGTGTCTACTAATTACAGCAGAAACAAAGGCCATCAGGTTACGGAAGTCGGTTTTGTGCACACAGAAAAACCTTTTGCAAACTCCATCTATTATGGCCAAAGGTCGGCTAACGGCACACACACTGCTCCAGCCCCCTTCCTGGCACAGCTTCACCCAACTCTAATTGCGACCTAACTCATTGTCTCTTAATTCTCCTGCTACGCCTCCACAGAACGGAAAGTTATGCATCTCCGAAACAGTAAAATTTCTCCATCACGGGCAAGTATCCCTGAGCACCCACTTTGGTGAAGATTTCCATCAGTGATTAAGACGCACTAACACTGCGTCGCACAAATACGACGCTTAATTTGGTTCGATGTTGATACTATGCAACAGCAGTTACTGTTTCGTGAAATATTCATCAAAAATCTAAAATAAGTTGTATTCAATTGTAAAAAAAGTACTTAAGAAGGCTTAAAATATGAATTATCCTGCGGCCTGATACCAGGATATTAGTCAGGTCTTAAACCCCAGCCACTCTGCAAAAAATGACAATTTAAGTAGTTGGAATTCCGCGCGCATTGAGTTTGACGGCCTCAAAGATTGTCATATATATTTTATGAACGAAACTTCTCTTGTTTGCACTCATTTCACAGCAGAATATGGTTTACACGAATATGCTATTCATCAGAGAAAGGACACATTTTCGTTTTAAGCAACTTCTCAATGGTCCCATAATTTTGAATCTGACTTGTACTCATCACACTTGCGCCTAGAGATTCCAAACTATACGCTACCTAAGGAAAATCACGTATTCCCCTACGCATCTGGGAAGACGTTACCTAATGCTCATAATATTTCGCAATGGATGTGGATCATGCTGTTCACTTTATAAGCAGCAGTAGGCAGATACGATGTCTTAAAAATTAAATCATTAGAAACACTTTTTAAAGCAAAGAAAGCCCTTTTTGGAGTATAAAATTGAACACGTAATTTGCAAGTGCAAGAAGCGAAATTTTTCGCGCATGTTTTCTATAAAATATGCTTACTACTTAGGTAATTTTTTTTTCATTGACGTGACTAGTATATCTTAGGAGTAGGCAGAATTAAGCCTACGAGCCTACTTAAGGATAAAAATTCAAACGTACGTCTTTAGGAATTTTGATCGATATTTCATGAGATAGCAAATCTACTGCGCAATTTAAGTGAATAGTTTGTCGTCTTGGGGAGTTTTAGAGAGACAACGATTACTCTCAGCGGCGATAATCTGGCAGTCTCGTCACGAGTCCCCTCCTCCTCCTCCCTCCCCCCTCATAGACGACAATCAATCAAATCAAATGACAGCACTGGGCTACACCCCTGATACAAGTGCTAGGCATCTGAGGCTAGATTGTGAAATTCAGTTTGCCAACAGAGATATTAGGGGTGACATACAATCTTCCAC